CCCCCCCCCCCCCGCCTCACCCACTACTCCCGGGGAGCAGTGCACCCTTCCCACAGCTTGTGAGCACCCTCAGCCTAACTTGGGGTATAGTCACCCTCCTCTGGTCCACTGGACAGGGGCTGCAGGGAAGTCCTCCTCAGGGAAGTGGTCCTCTGGATGCTAGAGGATTATCACTTCCTCCCCCCAAGAACCACCAGAGAAAAACCGGTCTTGGACCCACTCGGAGGAAGCTGACAGTCAGAACTTCTTGGATAAAATCCACAGTTGGTCCGTGGGGTCCATTCACAGGGCCTTGCGGTGAGCGCCAGCTATCGCATCCCGCCAGAGCTTATCTGGCTCTATCACTTCAGCCTGCAACAGGAGTGGGTCACACCCCAGGAGCAGGATGACCCGAGGTGTGACTAGAGCACTTGCTCTACGGCTTTTTGGCTGTCAGTCTGCGCTCTGAGGAGACAAGGATGAGAGGGAGGTCTTTTGCATGGGATAACAAAGGATTTATTGCTCTGGGGAATCTTGGGGGCAAAAGACAGAAAATGCAAGCGTGCAACAGCTGAAATAGGGAGGTGGTTCAAAGGGAGGGTACAAAGCATCAGCTAATCAGAGATATCCTGGGGAGGGTAAAAGGCAGGGTTCACAAAATCATCATCCAATGAGGGAGGTAAGGGGGGAAAATTGGGTCACATGGACTAATCAAGCGTCGAAGTTTAGGGGATTTCCGAAGTGGAATTCCAAGCATGTGGTGGGCTTAAGACAGATTGACAGGAGACTCAGGGTAGATTGACAGCATGGGGTGGGAGGGTCTCATTTGGACCAAACCATCAACTTAGGTAATAACAGAACATACCATTAACAAGAAGCACACTGCAACAGATAACTGTATACAGTGTTAATAATCTTTATTATTTTTGTTGTTATTTTTATGTTTTATTTTATTTTTAATAAAAATAATTAATAATAGTACAAATTGTTAATTTTTAAAATAAAAATTATTTTTATTAAAAAAAATATTTTTATGTTTTTAGATTTAGGTGGAACTGCATGCTGGACTCAAAGTGTGTAGTCAAATTATAGAACTCAGCACACAAGTCCAGCAGGCTTCCAAAATGACTATGCAGAATATTGCATTTATATGTGAATGATAGAGTTCTTTTGTTACACGATATTAAATATGTTAAGAAATCCAAGTTGCTAGATACCCACCCCTAGCCTTTTTCTGTGTGTGTGTGTGTGTGTGTGTCTTTTCTTCTGCCCCTATAATTTTGAAAAATGTTGAGTCACAGGGTGGTTAGGGGGACCAATCTGGTTTTTATTTATGCCACATGTTAACACATGAGATGAAGGATTCCTATAGGGGCTGTAAACGTGCTGGCAGCCCTGTCCCCTTGGAGATTTAGCCTGGCAGCCAAAGAGGGCAGAGAAATTTTCCATGATTGGGCTGCAAGCGACTCCCCACTTTCTGTCAGAGCAGATGCCCTG